CTAAAATAATGCATAGTCTAGACATAGTCCTAGATGTGTGACGGGTGCATGAAATCAGTGTGACCTTCATGCAGAGATGCCGCCATTTCCACAGGAGGCTAACCCCCTGTCCCAGCCCTAGGGAGAACTGTTGGTCAGGAACTTGAAATCTAGTATATTAGTCCATGAATGTAAAATGGTGGGGGGAGGTGCAGCTTTGTCCTTCCATTTGCCTGTTAGTACCTCAGATGGCTCACCACTCTCTGCTGACTACAGTACTAGATAATTTTAGCTGAAACAAAATACAGGACTAAGTAGCACTTTAAAGACTAACAAGATGGTTTATTAGATGATGAGCTTTCATGGGCCAGACCCACTTCCTCAGATCAAATAGTGGAAGAAAATAGTCACAACCATATATACCAAAGGATACAATTAAAAAAAATGAACAAATATGAAAAGGACAAATCACATTGCAGAACAGAAGGGGGATGCGGGGGGGTGGGAAGGGGGAGGAAGGAAGGTAAGTGTCTGTGAATTGCTGATATTAAAGGTAGGGAGAGTGGGATGTTTGTGAGTTAATGGTATTACAGGTGATAATTGGGGAAACTGTCTTGGTAATGGGTGAGAAAGTTCAAAGACTTGTTAAGTCCTTGTTGGTAAGTGTCGAATTTTAACATGAATGACAGTTCAGAGGATTCCCTTTCAAGTGCAGATGTAAAAGGTCTTTGTAGCAGAATGCAGGTGGCTAAGTCATTTAGAGAGTGTCCTTTCTGGTTAAAGTGGCAAGAAACTGTTTTCTCTTTGTGATCTTGTCTGATATCTGTTTTGTGGGCATTAATCCTTTGGCGAAGTGTCTGAGATGTTTGTCCAATGTACATAGCAGACGGACACTTTCGGCATATGATAGTATAAATTATATTTCTGGATGCGTAGGAATATGTGTTCTTGATCTTATAACTCACTTGGTTAGGTCCAATAATGGTATCAGCAGAGTGAATATGTGGACAAAGCTGGCAACGGGGTTTGTTGCAAGGGAAGGTGCCAAGGTTGGTATTAGTGTGGTATGTCCAGTGGTGGTTGGTAAGAATCAGACAGATTTTCATGTGTGTTCAATTTTTTTAAATTGTATCCTTTGGTATATATGGTTGTGACTATTTTCTTCCACTATTTGATCTGAGGAAGTGGGTCTGGCCCATGAAAGCTCATTATCTAATAAACCATCTTGTTAGTCTTTAAAGTGCTACATAGTCCTGTATTTTGTTTCAGCTACACCAGACTAACACAGCTACATTTCTATCACTATTCTACAATGCAAGATAATTTTAGTTGAGTATGACAAAGAGCCTGCTGCTGAGCCCTCACTCTGAGCCCTTGTCTCTGTATTCCTGCCCTGACACAGTCAGTTGAAATCAGGGGAAAAGAGAGACAGTTATTCAGTTTGTCAAAGGGTAGGGAAGAGGTTGGATACGTTTCTGCTGAATGGGGTGGAAAACAGAGACCGAGGTGCTGGAAATGGCTGTCAACATGCCAAAAGTAATGAGTTTTTATTATCAATAGATGTACTCAAACCCATCTTGGACTGGGCCATGCACAAGAAGACTGTAGTCAGAGAGCAGGCCAGATGGAGAACGGTACTTTCTGATAGGTTGCTTGAGAATAGGCCTGCTGTCTCCACAAAGCCTGTCGGTGAGCACCGCCTTGGGATGCAGCACGTGAGGGGCTATATTCCAAAATACTGCAAGAGCGAGTAACATTCATTAAACCCACCTCAGACAAGTTAGGGAGTTTTTAGGCTTTCCTAAGTCCTTTTCACTCATCCCAAAAAATGAAGGGAGAAGAGGAAACAGATCTGAAAACAGGACAATGGGTCGGTGTATTATAAATATAGTATGAGCCAAATGCAGAGGAAGTGGTTTGACAGGAATCATGGTTATGAAGGAAATATATGGAAATCTGTGCATAACTGCTTAAAGGTGTGTTAGAATGTTTTGGCAGTCTAGTGTGAGCAACTATTCACATCCTCCAAAGGGACCCATCGAGGAAATCCAACCAACTCACTCACATCCTCTTCCAAACAGCAACCTCTCCCTCCCACCTTCTGTCTGTTAAGTAAATAAACGGTGCTGTGTACAATCACGGCAGAAAATTTTGAACAATATGATGTAAAATAAAAGATTGAACCCATGCCAAAGAGAGTGCTCTCCTTCCTTCCCTCCCTACTATGCACACAAAGGGTATGTCTACACAGTCGTGCATAGCTCGAAATAAGCTACACAAACTGCGTAGCTTATTTCGAGATAACCTATTTCAAAATTTGGCACTGTCTACACAACACCACATTTTGAAATAGAGCTCTATTCCTGCATCTTCCTTCTTCCTGTGCAACAAGGTTTACAGGAAGCCGGAATAAGCCACCTGTTAATTTGAAATTATTTTGAAATAAAGAGCATGCTGTGCTGTTAAGATGCACACAACACTACTTCAGGATAATGGACATTACCCCGAAATAGTGCTGCTGTATAGACGTACCCAAAGTCAGGCTAAGCAGGCTTTGTGTAGGCAATTATACAGCAGATTGAGGATCTGAATCTTTGTGGTATTTACACAGTAGTAGCTGAGTAGCTCCGCTTCCTAATAGCCAGGCAAATTCCTGGAGTCTCCACTGTTGCTCGTAAGAACCATGGCACTGATATACTCCCCTGAAGGAGATTGGATCTACCTACCCGGAGATCACTATCTCACCCTGCTTCCAGACTCCCACCAAACTTTATTTTGAGCTATTTGAAGTTGGTGGCAACTTACCTCTACCATGCACATGGCATATTGGATCTCTATACACTCTACAGCTTGATGCACCCATCAAACAAAAGAACCACTGAGGCTGCACAGGAAGCCTTCTGAAGCACACTGTGCCCATGGGAGGACTGCACCCAGAAACTATACAAAATGCACTGGGCTAGTGTCTCAACTGTTATCAACTGCCATATTCAATGGAGCTATAACAACTTATGCCAACTGAGGTTGAGGCCTTCAGTGCGTTATTCCCGCTGTTGAGAAAGCTGCAGTGCCCTTCCGACAGGTCACATTCAAGTCACCCAGAAAAAACTCCACCAAGCCTAAACTAAGCCCCTCCTTCTCTACATACACCCACTGAACACAGCTCTATTGTTAAAGGTTTTAGCACTTTTTAACTGTAAGACGGACTTGTTCTCAGGCTTGAGAAGAAAGAGGCAGCCTCTCTCTACACACCATCACCCTCAATAAATCAATGAAATGCCCTTCAAATGCTTTTTAAACCCTACACTTTCCACTGAACCATTGGTAAGTCTTTCCTAAGGATTAGCAAAGGCCTTTAGAGTGTATTCTTCCCCCTCTCCACTCCTGCATCATCTGACCCAACAAACAAGGTGCTGTTCATTTTCCTATCAGAGACAAATTGCTCTGCCTGCCTGAAGTGCTGACAAGCCTGAAGAGGTCACAGAGGGAAAACTTTAACTTCCACCAGTTCCTCTCTCCTTCTAATGGGAGGCTTGAAATAACTGACCTGAAGCTGATAGGAGTCAAGGGCTGGTAGGTAATATGTGTACACTAGCTGTATAGTGAGTGGCAAGTGCTCTGCTTTGTTCAAAAGTTTTCCAAACTTTTCCTTGTTAATCTGGTTTACCTGTGATTTGCTAGCCAAATGGTTAGGTATATGTGAAAAATCAGTCTTCTTCCCCAATTGTATTATGAACATACTAATGCCTATTTTAGAATAGCTCAGCAAAAAGAAGTAATAAAAATGCATACAAGGGAGTAATATTGCTTGAAAAATCCTCTTACATACTCATCAAGACTGGGAAGCTTTCCTTTAAGGAAAACTATCAATTGCTACAGAACTTAAATTTTTTTAAAAAGAAAACTGAGTGAAATCCTGGCTCCATTGGAGACAATGGCAAAACTCCCACTGAGTTCAATGGGACTAGGTTTCTACCCTTTATGGCATGAGAAGATATTTCTGCATATTTATCAGATATAAACTATGTATTGTTATCTTCGTGAGTCTATATACAAACATCTCTGGTGCACCACCTGCTGCTCAAATTTCCCAATTAGCTGTTGAGTAAAATTAACAAGACTCAGATCACTTTTAATGAAATTATCCATGATCAGAGCTAGTCAGAAAAAAAAATTATCACAAAAAGAGAGTTTGGAAGAAGGGAAAAACATTACTTTTCAATACTTTTGTACTATTTTCCAATGTTTTCCACTTTTAAAACAGTGAGACTATGTGAAAGTGTTTTGTTTCTTTCATACCAGCCTGTTGCTGAAATATTAGTACATATCTGGCAAATGTTCCAAGACCTGTGATGCATTGTCATTTTATTTAACTCAGTCTTTTTCCTACCTCTCACAATATCTTCTTGTGTGATATATATATTGACTACTTACCTGGTGGGAAATAAGTGGGTGTATTGGTTTGATTTCTACTTGTTTCACATTCTTTCAATCGATTCTGTAGAGCCACAATTTCTCGACGAATTGCAAGGATATTGTTTTTGTCCAGTGATTCCAGATCATTTACTATGAGAGTCAGATTCCTAATCTAGAGAAATAAAAATTCAGCATGACTATTACAGACAACCTTATTTCACAAACATTAACATTTCAAAAAAGGAGCTGCAGAAGAAGTTTTAGGAAATGTTCCCAAGAGTAAGTTTTAGCATGAACACTAGGTCTCAAGCTAATATGTATAATGACAAGAAAATGTTTGTGATTTTAGCATTCAGTCATATTCCATAATGCTAAAGATCACCCAGAAATTTCCAATACTGCTTATTTGGTTATTAACTAATACCTATACATGATTTAAGTCTTGCATAAGTGTCTTGAAAATTTATCTGCCCAGATAAATAGTCTACTCACACACTCATTTAATGTTGAAGTGAACAGTGAAGAAACTAATGATATTTTACTTACCATAAAAAGCAATTATTCACTCCAACTGTAAGTGATAATAATTTTGCAGATTGATATATTGAATATTGGGAAGGTGTATGTCTTTTCCAGTTCTTGATTTTATATGGATTTGTTCATTACCCTAATAAGTTACATTTTTTAATTATTTTTGTTATGGCACAGAAGCTTTTAGGCATGGGTGCCCATAAATTAAAATTTATTGTAATAATTTAGACAGACTACCTATTTAATATAGCAGCATCCAACAACTTTAGTTTTTAGTCACACGTGATAAAGATTGCAATTTTTGCCATGTATGAAGGAACAAGAGAACATGCTTAAGACTAAGATTTGCTTTAATTTACAGTGGTTTAAATCCAGAATAATTCCACTAACAATAGAAGAGACATTCAGAATTTCATTGGTGTAACAGAGGTGCAATGTTTCTGAATGGCAAAATTAGCCTTATATCTACCTCGACGTATAGTTGCTCAACAATCTCATTGCTTCCAACAAGTGTGGATTTCAGCTGAGTGACCAGTCTTTCCATTTCAGTGATTTCCAGCTTCAGTAACTGGAAGTCCAACTCGGTGTAAGAAACACTGGTCTTCTCCATATGTTCCACCTTGATGGTTAGGTTTCGGATTTTCTGTTCATATATTTCAATTGCTGCGGTATATTGGCTAACCTTTAAAAAAAAAAGCAAATTTTCAAGTTCAGCTTAGTGAATATAACATGAATGGTTGACATCAGATAGATGGATAGAGAGACTGTAGGCCTACTGATGTGGGGCAGAGGCAAAGGGCCTGCTGCTCTGGATGAGGGGCAGGATTAGTTCAGTGGTTTGAGCATTGGCCTGTAAATCTAGGGCTGTGAGTTCAAGCCTTAAAGAAGCCATTTAGGGATGTGTGGTAAATCTGTCAGGGATGGTACTTGGTCCTGTTGTGAGAGCTAGGGACTGGACTTGATGACCTCTCAAGTCTAGCTCTATGAGATAGGTATACCTTCTAATAATCACTACTACAACAGCAGTGGCAGCTAGACCTTAGGGTCCTTTAAATCACTGTTGGAGACCCACATGGCATGCTCCAGATAGCTCTGAGGGAGATCAGCCCCAGCCCTGCCCCTTCTATGGGTGTGGAGTCAAGCCCCTCTTTTGCTTTGCCCAGGGACCTGACCTGACAAGTCTGTCGGGCCCCACTGGATATATGTCAAATTCTGCCCTCATTTGCATCTGTGCAATCCCACTGAAATCACATGGGCATTACTGAGGGCAGAATTTCATTCATAATCTTCACCTTTTTATTCCTCACTATAGCAAAGGCAGCCACCTTTTGAGCTACCCCTCATGGACAGAGTTCATCTTGCAGCACCTACCTCAGTTTCCCCCTCAAGGGGCCCTTATGCACACTCTTTTTCTGGGATCAAACCTCAAAGTCCCAAATTAAAGTCCAGCCAGCAAACATTTCTGTTCCACCATGCAATCCTCCCTGCCAGGACCACTTTTGCTGTCTTTCCACTGCTTTCTCAGGGTCTCCTCTTTCCTTAGCAGATTACTACTAACTTTCTATTACTACTAACACTTCCTTGCAGGAATCTTAGGCTTTATCTAGATTGCCTGGCAGTTTGAACTACAGGAACTGAATAGCAGGGCGCACCAATGTGCTGCTCTGTAACTCCCCCGTGTGAAAGCTGGGGACATGAACCAAAAGGTTCCCTTCCTTTGTGAAGTCCTGTTAGAAGAGGATTATGTAATGGCAAGCTAGGAACCTTATGGGTTGCATCTGCAGCATCCACGTGAGTTGCAGTGCAGCATATTGGTGTGCATTGGTATTCACACTTCTTTAGTCCAAACTGCTAGCCATCGTAGGTTAGAGTACCCAACCTATGGCTTGCAGGTCATAGGTGACCCACCAGAGTATTTCATAAGGGCCACAGCCAACTTCAAAAAATACAGCTAATAGCTGACTCGTTAGTGATTTGTCATCAAGTTTGCACAGTTTTAATTAACACAAGTGTGTAAACAGAGAATCCTATACACAGAAACAAGCTATCTGAATACATAAAAAACAAACTGAACTTAAAATTTAAATCAATACAGATGACTTTAAATCAGGTGTGAACAAGAGGCTGCCAGTGGGCCAGATTCAGCCCGCCAAGCCACCGGATCTAGCCCACGGCTGCCTCACCGGAATCCTTAGGCAGAGAAAAGCTCACTCTTTAAAAAGCCAGCTGCTCTCCACTCTGGATGACTAGGGAGGAAGAAGGGAGATTTCTCATGCTGTTCCCCCCTCCTCCCCCAGAAAAATATCTCCGCTCCCATTGGCCAATCTCTCAGTTTCAATAGGAGCTGAGAATTTTTGCTGGGAGCAGGGGCAGTGTGGGAAGCCTTCTCACTCCCTCCCTCCCTCCCTGTCCCCATCATGCCCGGAGCAGAACCACGTGGAGCAGGGAGCAGCCTGCAGCAGACAGTCTGCCTCAGATTTTTGCAGGTAAGTGCCTTCCAGTCAGAGCCTGCCTCTGGCACCGCACCCATTCTCTCCCCTCTAACTACCTGCCCCAGGCTACCGCCCAAACCCTCTGTACTCTTTTTTTTCCCCCTTCTCCCAGGTCACAACTCCCTCCCAGACTCTGCACCCCCTCCTATACTCCTCCCTCCCGGTCAGAATCCTTTCCTGTACCCATACCTAATCCTCAACACTGCACCCCATTCCTCTGCATCAGGTCACCACCCAAACCCTCTGCACCCCTTTTACCCATGTCACAGCTCCCTTTCAGACCTTGCACCCCCTTCTAGAGCCCCTCACCCAGGCCAAAATCCTTTCCTGCATGCGTACCCTATACCCCCTATTACCCAAGCCCCCTCCCCAGATCACAGCCCACTCCTTTACCCAAAATCCCTCGCAGACCCCTCACCCACTCCTGCACCCCAGTCTCCTATCTCAAGTTCCCTTCTGCACCCAACCTCTATCCCAGGCTGCACATCCACTCCACAGAAGTGTGGCCCTTGACCACTTGCCAAAATCCTAGAGTGCCCCACAATTAAAAATGATTGCCCACCCCGCTTTAAATCTTATTTAAAATGTATGGAATCTATTCAGCTCATATAAGGTTGGGCACCATGGGTGGAGATGAGCCCTTAGTCCCAATCCTAGCACTCTGCCTAGCTAGGGTTGCCAAAAAGGAAACCTGGCTGTGTCTTGTCAGCACAGCAGGGCTAACTGGACTGGTTGGCTGCAGTAACTGGCTTCTGCCACTGGGGCGTGGTAACAGAGCATCTGTGGCTGGAGCTCTCCACTCAGCTGCAGACACCTTACAGAGACCAGTGACTGGCTTCCGGACCTGGCTCCAGGAAGTTGGTGCCCCCTCTCCATGGGGGAATCCTGTCCGCCTCTCCTTCGTTTCTGCCATGACCCAATTGCGCCATCCCTGGTCCCTCCTCATCCCCTTGCTGCGAGGTCTGAGCTCCTCTCCCCCTTCCCACTCTGCTCTGAGTGCCCCAGCTCAACTTCTCTGACACAACACTCAGACCCCTCTCAGCCTGGCTCTGTAGGCAACAGGTGAGACCTGGGACAGGAGGAGGTGGGATGAGCAATGGAGGGAAGGTGAGAGGAGTAGGTGGGATTGAAGCATCAGGGGAAGAAGAAGAGGGAGAGGGGCAAGAGCATTCAGTTTCAGTTTTCAGCAATTAGAAAGCTGGCAACCCTACTTGAAGCCTCCTCATTCCCAGTAATCTTTGCTCTCCCTGAGCTTTCCAACTACTCCTTAGATTAGAGGGAAATCACTTGATCCCTCTCAGGTGTTTCTTTGTCAGTAATTCAGGTTGCCTGGCCGCAGGCCCTCGAACCCCCACGGGGCAAGCCACGCACTTACACTCACTAAAGTGCCCTCTAGAAGTTAACTTTATTCAGGGTCCTAGAGAATTTGAGGGGGCAGATTCTACCAGGAAACCTCCAATGATTATTTCAGGAAAGTGATGTTCCATGAAGAATGTTGTAGTATGTCTACCCAGCCCTCAGCTGCAAGTCTAGGACCCCCAGTCCACACATGCAGGCTCTGGGGGCTCACCCTGCCATGTTAAAAGTAACAGTGCTAAAAATAGCTCCCTTCTAGGCCTCAAAGTATGATCTGCAGCCTGAGCTACACAGCTATTTTTAACACATAGTGCAAGCGAGAGTCTGTGGGCCTGGGCTGGGAGGCTCACTGCTGCAGCCTGCCACTTGCCGTGTAGATGTACTGGGTCTGGAAAAGGTCATGAAAGATCCACCAATTTCTCCAAGATGATTTTCTATTGGCTTCAGTGGGCAATCGTTGGGCTGCCACTCTGCAAATAGTATATCCAATCTTTTCTGCATCAAAACTAATTGAGTCCCCTGAAGAAAGGGTTATTTTAGCACAGTGCACTATTACAAATCTGATCCATCCATCCTGAAACTGATTTAAATGAAGGCCAGTTGAGGTGAAACAGTTGTTTTAGCCTTTAGGTAGAATAACTGCTGTGCTGCAGCCTCTTCAGATGTGGAACCACAAACAGATGGCTGAATAAATACACTTTTGCACATGTATCTTCCAATGTAAAGGTCACGGTGCAAACACTGTCAAGAAGAATGTTAAGAATATTATGTGGATTTGGAGCACACTCTGAAAATTTGAGTTCCATACAAATGGAACATTTGGGGAAAGAAATAATCCTCCTCCCATGTGACTTAAAACTGCACCCATTTTTCCTTAATGACATTCCATAGAGTAAGAAGTATCACTTAGCAGGAATAAATTAATTGTCAGATTAGCAACTCTGTAGGTATGGACTCCAAAGGTAATTCAATTATCAGCTTCCATTTTCAGGTGCTTATCACTTCTCTAAATATTGCCTTTTGACTGAACATGCTCATGCATATTCTCAGACTTAAAATGAATGTGTTCGGTTAAAAGTCATTTTGGTGACTTTTGCATTATCTCAGTATGAATTCAGAGTATTTTGCATTAGTGATTTTTTTTCAGATCTATTCTAATCAACGGGATATCTCTGAAATGTTCTTTTCACAATTTGACATGGGTATAGATTTTCATTAAGACTAGAGTTTTGCTGTTCTGTTATCTTGGTGATATTGTCTACAGATTCCTGACCAGGGCTTTGTAGCAATCAGAGAAGATACTTTCCCCCAAATAATTCTTTCCAAGATATACACTGAACCTCAGTTCATGCTAGGGCAAGTCTTTAGGAGTTTAGTCAATGGTTCCACAAGCACTGGGGTGGAACTACATATTATTTAAACTATCCCTGGAAGGTTTTTGTCACTCTAACCAGTTCTTAAGCAGCTCCAGCAATGGAGATCCCACAATAGCCCTAAGAAATTTGTTCTCATATATAACTACCTAATGCCTAACCTAAATCTCCCTAACCTAAGTTTCTCCTAATGCCTAACCTAAATTTCCCTTGCTGCAATGTAAGTCCATTGCTTCTTGCCCTGTCCTCTGTGTTAAGGAGAATAATTCATCACCCTCTTCTTTTTAACATATATCCGGTATCCCAAAATAGCAACCCCACGTCTACACAGGCCGCCCATTACTTCAAAATATTTTTTTAAATAACAGGCGCACTATTTCAGCATCCCAGTAACCTTCGGTTAAGGGATATCTTGAAATAGCACATTATTTTGAAATTTGGTGCTGTGTAGATGCACCAAA